TTTTTGTTCCCAGCAAAACTTTCCCCATTTATAAAACATGTGTAATGGTATAGTAAGGTTGTGAAGACCAGTTGTGAAGACATCAAATGCAATGACTGCATCCTATAGTAAAACTCTCAGCAGAAACCAGCAAAAGGGACGTGAAAGGATCACAAAGTACCAACATGATTTCATTCTCCACTGTTTGCTGTATAGAGCTTCAACCCAGGAATATTGCACGTGATGCATTTTGATGCATATGAATACATGTATTTCTATACACAGAGTACACACATGAGGAGGGGCATATTCTTTGTGATCAGGAAATGCATTTGTTCTGTAATTATTTTAGTTGTAAGACACCTGCAGAAACATAAAGGCCCAGCCAAACACAGAACTTGTAAAACAAACTGTGCAGAAAGCTCTCTGCTGACTCCACAATGTGCACCTGGAGGTGCTGGGAACCTTGCTCCTGGACACAAGCTGCTGTACATGGAGGTTGCAGAAAGAACAGAGCCTGCCCTTGCCTGCAGCTTTGTCACTCCTTGGCCAGCAAAAGCCAATTCTATTGGAGTCTATTACAACGATAAACCAATGCACTAATTCACCGAAGCCCTGTTTTCGCCCAGTTACAGCAGCACTCACAAATGCACAGGGCACCCAGCATGGTGCAATCACATTTTGAGAGTCAGACTGTTCCACAGAGCTTCACATAGAGAATGGACAGGACTGGTACTTCACAATATAAAAGCAGAATGGAAAATCTCCGGAGACTATAAAATCAACATGATTCATTTTCACATACGCTTCTCTGAACCAGCTAAGTTAAGAGAGACTAGTCTTTACCTAGTTAAGAAATGAGCACCTTCAAAAGGCAGCTCAAACTTTTCAAGATGGAATCCAGATCCACATCAACTTTCTGAAATCTGGATGATTATGTCCCCCAAGATAGCAGTGGGAGTCTAGGTGAGTTAAGTCCATTTATCGAGGCAAGACTTAATGGAGCCAACATGAGACTAACAACACCCTGCATTGTTTGAGTCTTTGATCTTTGCTGGAACCACAGCTCTTTCTTCTTTCTTACCAAAACAAAAAGTCGTCAGCCAAGCAGCTCCTCTGTAAAAGAAATCTAATCAATGGTCTGTTACCTTTTTCCAGTACAAGTGGCTTTCAGCAGAGGTCACCTGCATGCGTGAAAGAGTAGAATTCAAATTATCAAGAATCATATTAAATATTCACTTTATAAGACACAGTAACAGCAAATAAAAAAACTTTAAGTAGAATCCTCCCCAGTTGCCATTTGCCATTTTTCAGTCCAACGAAGACTACAAATTCTGTTTTCATAAACTCAAACAGGTGAAGGTAAAAAGGAACAAAAGCAGACATTGTACATGGCTCTCTCAGCAAAATTCATCTGCAGTATGTATCACTACCTATATTTAGCTGTTGTGAGGCACAAAAAAAAAAAAAAAAAAAAAAAAAAAA